AAGACATGACAATTCAGGTTTCAACAGAATTTTTAAAATAAAGAAAATTTCAAAATTGTAAATCTCCCTTAGGGGTAAAATAGATTAACTAAAAATCAATTCAGAAAAGCAAGTAGGATTTAAAATATATTTTTGTTTTCTCTGGATAAATTTCATGTCTCAAAATCCCAAAAGAAATCCTTAATTAGTGGAGCCCCTCAAGGGTCTGTACTGGGACTAATACTACTTAAGAGGTTCATCAGTGACATGGACAGAGGGATGAATGCACTCTCAGCAAGTTTGAAGATGACACCAAGCTGAGTTGTGTGTTTGATTTGCTTGAGGGATGGGATACCATCTGGAGGGACCTTGTCAGGCTTGAGAGTTGGGCCCATGAGAGCAGGTGCAGGGCTCTGCACCTGGGTCTGGACAACTTCTGGTATCAATCCAGGCTGGGGAATGAGCAGATCCAGAGCAGCCCTTCCCAGAAGGACTTGGGGGTGCTGGTGGATGAGAGGCTGGACATGATATTTTAATGTCAACTTGCAGCCCAGAAAGCCAAATATATCTTGGGCTGCATCCAAAGCAATGTGGGCAGCAGAGTGAGGGGAGGGAATTCTGCCCCTCTGCCCCCTCTACTCTGGCCTTGTGAGATCCCAACTGGAGTATTGCATCCACCTCTGAGGTCCACAAACACAAGAAACACCTGGGCCTGTTAGAGCAGGTGGAGACATGGGCCACAAGGGCCAGAACTGCTCTTCCCCAATGAAGGCTGAGTTTGAGTTGTTCAGCCTAGAGAAGGAAAGGCTCTGGGGAGACATATTGCATGCTTTCAGTACATAGAGAAGGCTTATTAGAAAGATGGAGACTTTTTAGCAAGGCATGTTGAGGCAGGACAAGGGCCAACAGTTTATTTACAATGAATGGTGAGGCCCAGGAACAGGTTGCCCAGAGAAGCTGTGGATGCCCCATCCCTGAGAGTGTAAAAGACCAGGTAGAATGGAGCTCAGAGTAATCTGGTTTAGTAAAAGATGTCCCTGTCCGTCACAAAGGGTTGAACTGGATGGTCTTTGAAGGTCTCTTCTAACCTGAATCTTTTTATGATTTTGATTCTGATATCCTGATTCCTTTAAGACATTTTCAAAAATAATTCTGAAATATGCTGTGAATTCATTCAGTTAGCTGCAATTCAAATGCACTACTTAGAACTTCTACTGCTTTCTGTGTGTATTCATAAGGTAAAACCAAATGGCATATGGCCCAATTAAAAAAACTGTGGTGCAGGTTTCCTATTAGTCCAACCAACAGTATAATTTGTGTTCCTTTAACAGCCAAGCCTTCCACTAAGATGCACGTTATCATAGCTAGGATGAGGACTATATTTTAAGTGAAAAATATGTTTGATCATGAAGGATTTGGATCTTAAAATTTTTCATGTGTCTATACAGAATTCTGTAGATTGCCTTTTTATTTAAACTCTTTACTGAAGTCTGCCTACTAGCATACAAATACACTTAATCTGGTGAGATATTTACAAAATATTCACTTTGATCGTTCACTGTCAATTGTTTGTGGAAGCTGGTGAAAGACATCTACTTTCCAGGGAAATTGAGCACTCCAATTAATTTTGGCCAAATGTGCTACCCTGTAGATAAACAGGTTGTCTTAAGAAAGATTATGGAATGTGATTTTACGTTCTTCATTATGCAGGCAGACTCCTCATCACTGCTGAAAGTTTATGTGCTTTGATCTGTTCTTATGAAACCATAGTAAGCTGGTGACTGCAGTACTAGGAGATTCAAGTCCTGGCATGACTATTATCTTGCTTCTTAACATTTAACAGCTCACATCACTCACATCATCAATGTTTCCCTTCTTTCTCTTTCTTCCATATTTCTTTCCATATTTCTTTTCAATTTGCAGTTTTATTTTAATCCATTATTTTAAGCTAGAGGCAAATTGCAAATATTGCTTAGTTTAACTAGTGTCTCTTTGCATTTTTTTACCAACCAATCTCCCTCTAATCCCATGCAGCTCTTGACTCATAATATTTTTATTCACTTTAGACATCAAAATTATTTCAAATATAATGTCCATGTTTTATTCCTTTTCATCCTTCTACTCAAGCATCATTATATACGCTGTGCACATTTTATTTAAAAAAAAATAGGCAGTTAACAGTAAAGCCCAAATGAATTAAAGTACTTGGCTTATACAGTAAGACTTACCATAAGTTCTTATCCTTACATGTGATTATAACTTTTGGAAATGAACACAATATTCAAGATCTTGGTTATGTGAAATGAATAGGGAAAATGAGTGAAAAGAGGGAAAACAATCTTTCATGAGAAAAGATTTATGTGTGTGTATATATATATACAGAGATCTACATAAATATGTGTTAAAATTTATGTTGTATAGATACAAATTATCCAACATCTTTCTCAGTTCAACTAGAGTATTCTTTTTTTACAATGTTTTTTCTTCACTGTAGATGGAGTGAGTCCATAAAAAAATGAGTGAATTTTGAAAAGTTTTCTGCTATAATGACATTTTGACCTCAACAAAATCATAATATTATAGAGTAATTCAGGTTGGAACATACCGCGTGAGGTCTTTCATCCAAACCCTTCCTCACAGCAGGGTCATAAAAGAATAGAATCCAAGTTGTTCAGGGCTTTATCTAGTCAGGTCTTGAAAATCTCCAAGAGCAGAGGCTATAAAATGATCTGGGAAACTTGCTTTACTTTTTAATCATGGTCATAATTTTGTCCTTATGTCAGAATCTCCCTTTTGAATTTTTGGTCATTGCCTCTCAACCTCCTGACATACCCAGCTGTGAATAGCCTGTCTGTATCTCCTTTCCATCCTCCTCAGAGGGACTGGGGATCTCCTTAAATGCCCTTTTCCAGGCTGGAGTGGAAGGCATCTTGAATGACATTGCAGAGTTACATTTTTCTTCTTGGGATAAATTTCACATCAAGAATTTTCTCTTTCTTTAGAAACATGAGTTTTGAATGTTTTGGTACTTTATGTAAAATCTTTCATACTTTGACAGGATTTATAAATTCATTTAATTCACTTACTACCTAGCAGGTCTAGAAACATCAACTCTCTAGCAGCTTTCTTGGCTTCAGCACCATAAATTTCAGGCAGTATCTTTAGTTTGGGTTCTTGTGCTTTATTTTACTTTCTTATCTGAGTTTGTTAACTTCTAGTCTGTGAGTCTGAGCATTTCTAAAAAGGCCTTTGGCAAGCTATGGGCATATTGAATTTATGTAAAATAATATGTTTTTTTGATGTGTTCTATATTTGTATGTCTTGTTAGAAACTCTGTGTACCAAAATAACATTTATCCTAGACTTTGATTTAAGATGGAAGAAATTTATTATAAGACACTACTCAGAATTACCTTAATCCATAAAGATTTTTTGCTTAAAATAAAACCTAGGGTTGAATACAAGGTCATATTCATTGGAGGGAGATTAATCTTTATTCTTTTATCAAGTTTGCCCCTTAGCTAGGGAAGTGTTCCCACCAGAGGTCGCATAATTTTAGTATAGACTTGTGGTGCAGTGCTGCTAGAGAGGGGTAGAGGAAATATGAAATAACCCTGGTTGCTGAGCAGTGTTGCAGTTAGGTGGAGAGACTGGGCAGCAGCTCTGTGTGTGTATACATGAGAAGTGCAAAGAATGAGAGCTCAACAGGTACTAAATTTGCTGCAACATTTCCTTCTCCCTTCTTCTCCACCAGTTTATGGCTAGGAAAAAAAGTAATACCCCACTATTGCCTAACTATGGTCCTTTGCAACAGGACTTATTCTTGAAGATCTTTGCATTCAAAACTTAGAAAAACAGTTTGGTTTTTCCCCTTGAAATTCACAAAGTACAGGAATACATCAAAATATGAAGATGGTGAGGACAGAGTCTCTCAGAAAGTGGACAATACAGGAAGTGAAGTGTGTCTAGGATTGCAATCAAACAATTCCTTTTAATGAAAATTTGCCTGCTGGGCAGAATCAGAGAATCTCCTCTGAAATATGAAGCAGTGATGAGTGATATTAGCTGATGATATGGTTCTGTATAACTTTATACATTTTTCTTAGTGCATGTCATCATAGGAGTGCCCAAAGAATAATTATCTTGGTAATTTTTTAATCTTGGATGAATATATTGTATAGCATTGTGATATATTTATAAAAAGCTATGCTATTTTTTATCCTTAAAGACAGCACCCATCTATCAATCAATCTATCTGGCTTTTGTTTGTAATACATTTTAGACACTTTATCTAAAGCATATTTGATTTATGCATGTATATATGCATTATTCAAGATGAATGAGGAGTGTTCTAGTGCTTTTTAGAAGGCAATTTTTATATCCTATTTCTGAAAGGAAAAAATTAATAATGTAGAAATGTTTAAAAGCTATTTAAAATTCTAGACATTTTCCCTTTGAAATCTGAGTTTCCTATTCTGTCTTTATTGTATATTAAATTCTGAAGTCTAGGAAAACATGATAAATGCTCTGAAGGTTCTTTTTCAGTCATTGCCTAAGCTGCTAGGACAATCTTGGGCCCTGGACTAGAAATTGACCTCAACCCAGCCAGAAAATTAGATTAAAGCAGAACTTCAAATCAAATGTCTCAACTGAGTATTACTCATGCAAATTATGCATATAGGAAAAATACAATAATTTGGAACATTTTTGAATACAATGACAGAATATAGACAAAAAGCTGGGTTTTTAGAAGATATTAAGGCACTTTGGTGTTCATTGCTGCAGAGCCTTGGGGACAGACACGGAATGTGACATAGGCAACAAAGGTGAGAGTCCTAATTGCAAGAGATATGTCTTAATTTTAGCTGTCCAATACCAGATTGATTACCCTCTATTACTTTTATGGTCACAATGTGGAGAGCTTAATACAGCCACATCCTAGGTATAAGAACATGCACTTGGTTTTTCTGCATCCCTCAGACTTCTAAATAATGTTTTTTACAATCTCCTTCATTCCATCAGGTGAGAAGATAATACAAGGTTGACTAAGACTGCTGAAAGAACAGTGAAAGAGAAAGGCTGATGAAAAGGTTGAAAAACAGATCTAAGATGATCAACATGTGGATGGTGACTGCACAAAAAAAAAAAAAAAAAAAAAAAAAAAAAAAAAAAAAAANAAAAAAAAAAAAAAAAAAAAAAAAAAAAAAAAAAAAAAAAAAAAAAAAAAAAAAAAAAAAAAAAAAAAAAAAAAAGAAACAAAAGCCCAAAAAACTCACCCCTCCTAGAAAAGGGGAAAAAAGCTAGAAGATGTGCTTGAATAATCCTCTGAAAAGATGTCCTTGTTCAAAAGTCCAGATCCTGAAATACTTGGTTGCCAATGATGCAATTTTGGAGCTTTTGTCTCTTTTCAGTACTTGCAGTGACCTGAGCAATAGAAGATACTAACAGTATGAAAAATTGCAGCAAGAACTGGTAGTCACAGTTGTGAGTTCCTATGACAACTGAAGACTGTCTGGAGGCTGCAAAAGAATCCCATCTTAAGTATATGCTACTTACAATTATCAAAGAGGATATTTTCCTGTTATTCTTGAAGTTTCATTCAGAATTAGTTGCCTGCTTATTGCCAACTTGATTACTAATAATATTCAGTAGCATGACAAAGGCTGTGGTTGCAGCTTGAGAACGTTTAGTGAATTATGTAAAATTTATATTCCACAAAAATTATTAATAAAACTACCATAGAGAGAAAAGTTCTGCATGTTTATTCATTTATTTCAGCTTCCTTTGCTTTTAAAAGTGATAGCTTATAAGTAGTTCACTGTACAGACCATAGGCTAGGCTGATAAGTTTTCATGTGTTTGTCATGGGGAAAATTTTAAATTTCATGCTTTTGTCACAGATTAATAGAAAAACCGTATTAATACAATGCAGAAAATGTATATAATTTCAGAGTCATGCCTAGAGGAAAACAGAATTAAGGAAGAGTTTATGTAGGAAAAGAACGGCAATACAATGTTGAGACATCTTGGAATTTCTCTATAGTGAAAGAGAACCCCATAATATACTGGCTTCATCCCTGTTGTATGTATATACTGGAAAGGGAAATCTTCACATCTTTTTGTGTGATTTATCTCTGCTAAATACCCAGCTGTCATCTAAGGTAATTACCCTAGGTTCTTCTTATAGAGAGAAATAGGCATTTCCTGAAGGTGTTTTTCACTCAGACTCAAATTCAAATTTGAAGTTAAGTGCCTTCTGCATTTTTCTGGAACAATCTGCTTCAGTAAGGTCAGTCTCACATTTTGTGTGGGCCTGTGGGATGAGTGATGGTTCTATTCTATTTCATACAAGACATTAGAAAGTGTTGAATAAGGCAGTGGAGAACAAGAAAAATCCATGAGGAATTGGTCTTTTTTAGATGTTGGAACAAAGACTTAGTGCTTGTCTGTATCTAGGTACCTTAAAAATTGTAAATTACTCAAAAGGTAAATTATGATAGAAACACTATGAAAGAATATAGTATTTTCTGTTGTGAAGACTTATGGAAGAGACCTTAATGTGGCAAAAATTGAACTGTATGACTGAAAAATATACTTCAGTATTTCCTAAATTATTAAGATGTGTGTTATATATCACATATACTTTCTCTGTAAAGACCTCTCATTTTTCTTACTGGAATTCATCAGTATATCATAATAGCTTCTGGGTTTTTAGTCACTTTGAAGTAATACAGGGTCCAGCAAGTATTTTATCTCTATTTCTTTCTACTCTATCTCTGTAATATTAATTATTTTCCACTCTTGATTTCAGCATTGCTGCTCTTGGGGTACTGTCGTGCTATGCTCCATCAGTTGAAGCAATAATCATATAATCAGCAATTATATCTTCTCTGGAAGTATCACCAAGTGCCTCATAACTCTCTTTCTACAGTATTTCACTGACACATTTAATCTCAAATGTTAATCTAGAAAACTGATAATGTCCTCCTGGAGATACCTAAAAAGAGATGTACCTATCTAATTCTACCTGCCAGACCCCATGTTTCTTCTCTGAAATTGTAATAAGTTGCTTGATTTTTAATTGACGTTGCAAATCTTCTGGCGTCAGTCCTGAGCTGTGGTAATAGCCATGGTGCAATTTAACCTCCTTGTGTTAAACATACTGAGTCTTTCTTTTTTTTCTTTGCTTTTTTTCTGATCCAATAGAAGTGCTGATGCATTCCCTAGTGATATCAACTTGTCCTCTTTTTTACTGGCTAAGGACAAAATTTTGATACTTTCAAACACTTCAAACATACTTTAATCCATAGCTTGTTGCCCTAACTTCACTGTTGATTATAGTGAAACTACTCACACAGTTTAACAGTTGCAGTTTAGGTATTCCAACTGCAGCAGAATTTATCTTACTGCAAATACATATGCACAGTACAACATTTATTTCTATGCAAGTATGCTCAGATTCTCCAATTCCTTTAACTGTATCGTGGTACACTATGACAATATCTTCTCTGGATGTTAAATTTATTATTTAATGTCTCTCACCTATATACTCAGCATGTTATGGATGGTCATTCACTTATGAAAAATTGTCATTTGCCTTTGCTTTTTTTGGCTGTCACTTCCAGCTTCACCACTTCTTTTGATTAAGTGTATCCTCTGCTGGTAGAAATAGATGAAATGTGCTTTACCTTGCAAAAATTAGCTTTTGTGGTTTCAGAATTTGGAATCTTTTAGTAGAGAAGACTTTTGTGCTATTGTTAATGCAGGCTTCGAGACCAAATTTGTTAGAACAGCTGTCAAGGACTTTAGACTTAATTTTGTTTTATTTTCTTCCTCAGTCCTCCTGGTTGCCCCAGCATGAGTGGTATGCCAACTCAGGACACAGAAAAAACTGCAACTATTTAATAGTGTAGAGACTTCATGGAGCTTAATATTGCAGCTCTCTGCATTCCTCTTTATTAAGAATTTACCCTTTGCTCTCCTCTTACTTCTTATGTACCATGAAGATTTTCCAACCTCATTGCACATGCTATGAGACTTCTAATATCAGTAAATTCTGTACTTCTGTTCACAGAGAGTTAGGACTTCTTAGGTATATACATTGCTTATATATCACACAGTTTCAATTTCATCAGATAAATTAGTACCTCTTTGTAAATGGGATTAAGTATTATTTATTGAGAACAGAAGCAACTGTGAGGGGAAAGAACATTTTTTTAAGCCCAGAAGGGAAATATTTCTTAATAACAGCAAGGGATTCTTCCTTTGGACCTTAATTAGAAGGAAGCAATACTTAAAATTTTAAAATTAAAAAAGAATTTTGACTGTTGAGGGAAAAGACAACTGGCATACATAAACATATTTGGTAAACATAAACAGATTTGGTAAAAAAAGAGAATTTCTTCTCTTCCAAGGCTGTTTTATAAATAATTAAAATATTTGCTCAATAAGTTTCCAAACAAGCCTCTTTCTGAGGACAGTCTGTAAAACAAACACAGAAAACATGGTCATTTTGGAACTCCTACTACCCTGAAGAGATGTACACAGTCTTTCTGTGAAAACTGATTAGCACCCATAGATGATCTTCCACAAAAAGGGAAAAAAAATAAGGTATATTTCAGCAGCACTCTCACCACTCTTGCATATTTACTAATGAAAACGATGTTTATGACTTTAAGATGATGACAAATACATAAACTAAGAGGCAAAATTAAAAAAAAAAAGGTTCATGCAACTAAGTGATTTTGTATAGATGACAAGAGGTAATAAAGCTGAAAAAGAAGAATGACAAAGTGTAACATGAACAAAGATGTAAATAGCTTAACCCCACAAACACAGAGCTCTTAGGAAATAGTTTCATTTGCTCAAGGAATATCTAACACCTCATATCCTGTAAAAGACTGTTTTCATTGTACCAGGGTTTTGCAAAGTCAGGATGATGGAGAACAAGAAAAAAGTCCATTGCTGTGATGAAGGAGACCTATATGCTGAAAAAAAAAAAGGTAGTATCTGTTGAAAGTGCTCTCAAATTATCTATAGTTTCCTTTACCCCAGTCCTGCTAAGGAGAGCAACTCTAGAAAATTCTTATATCTCTGGCATGGAGCTCTTCTTGCATTTATCCTCAAAGAACACAGAAGTTTTGGAAACTATTGATGTCAGCGATCAGCCCTGGTTAGTAATATGGCTCCAGCTGTGCTTTGAAGATGCATGGGAAACCTTGGATCTGCTGAGGCACTGGTAGCTTTAAAACACTCTCACCTTTAGCTTTGCTTCTTCTTCCCTTCTGTGGAAAGCTCTGTGGTATGTCAGTCATTCAAAAGGTCTTTGAAAACCTTGAAGCAAAAGATAGTTGCCAGAGAGCAGCTTCTTCTGCTAGAAAAAAATAAAATCCAGAGTCATAACCCTTAATGAAAAAATGCTAAGGATAGTTACACTGTTGTTTGGGGTGGCTGGCACTGTAGGGATTGGGTCTTATGAGTGGCTGGGATGTCCAAGAAAATGCTAGGAAGGTCCACAATCAACATACAAGTGTAGATAATTCTAGTGAGACTACAAAAATGAGGCAATTTATGATTTTATTGGTAAATCTTAATTCTGCAATAGAGATGGAGATTGTATCTGTTATGTTTTGTCTGGGATTTTTTAAGAGAATGAACTTTTTTTCTCACATTGCCTGTAATGAATAGGCAAGGGAAGCAATTACTAGCTGAGGTGGCAGAAACTCTCAGTGTGCTTTGTATATTTTGCTCAGCAGAAGCTTCTAATTGTATCTCACTGAAACCAAACCCAAGCAATCCCATATCCTTTTTATTCATGTGTCTGCTACTTGCTCTTATTCAAAGACACAGCCTTTCAATACTTTAAGGGAACCTGTATGAAAGATGGGGAAGAACTTTTTAGCAGAGCCTGTTGCAATAGGACAAGGGTAGATTTTGGTTAGAAGGAAGAAAGAAGTTTTTTACAGTGGAGATGGTAAAACACTAGAACAGGTTGCCAGCAGATGTGGTAGAAAACATTCCAGGTCAAGTTGGATGGGGTTCTGAACAACCTGATCTAGTTGATGTCCCTGTTCATTGCAGAAGCTCTTGACCAGTCCCAGTCCATAGGGAAGTTTTGTTGCCTCCCTGGGGCCTGGGTAAGAG